ATTTGCCAGGTCTAAAGCCACACTGATAAGGCCCAATCAGTTCATTGACGGTGGGCTTCAGTCTTTCACACAATACGCTCGATAAGACCTTGTAACCTATGCTTAGAAGGCTGATCCCGCGGTAGTTGGCGCGAATGGCGGGGTCACCTTCCTTGTGGATTGGGCAGAGCACACTTAAATTCCAGTCGTCGGGCATGCGTTCATCTGACCATATTCTGCACAAGAGTTGATGCATGCACCTTATCAACTCCTCGCCGCCGTACTTGAATAGCTCAGCTGGCAGGCTGTCAGCTCCAGCGGCTTTGTTGTTTTTCAGCCGCGTTATTGCTATACGTACCTCGTCATAGTCAGGCGGTGGAACGTCGACTCCGTCATCATCGACTGCGGGCTCGGGTTCTTCTTCTCCACAACTTTCTGTGCTGCTACCATTTAGTAGGGCGGAAAAGTGTTCCCTCCATAATTTAAGTACGCTCTGGACATCAGTTACTAGGTCGCCATTATTGTTCTTACAGGAGTGCGCCCCGGTCTTTAAACCTTCCGTAAGTCGCCTAACTCTCTGGTAAAATTTTCGGGCATTCCTCCTGTCGGCCAGCATTTCAAGCTCTTCGCACTCACGTATTTCTGCCTCTCTCTTCTTGTTGCGGCAAATACGTCTCGCTTCCCTCTTCAGATCCCTATAGCGGTCCCACATAGCGCGCGTTGCGCCCGATCGCAGCGTGGCCCTGTAGGCGGCATCTTTTTTCTCTGCAGCTTCCTGACACTCCTCATCGTACCAGTTGTTCTTTCGGGCTCGCTGAAATCCGACTACTTCTTCGGCGGCGGTACTTAATGAGCGGGAAATGTGGTTCCACTGCTCGCATATGTCGGTTTGTTGAAGAGTGCTCTCTGAGAGCAGGTGTGAGAGTCGAGTAGCGAAAGCGCTGGCTGTCTGTTGTGATTGCAGCTTTTCGACGTTAAGCTTTCCTTGCATATTTGGGCGCACATTTTTTGCTGCACAGAGGCGGGTGCGTATCTTGGCTGCAACAAGATAGTGGTCCGAGTCGATGTTTGGGCCTCGGAGTGTGCGTACGTCTAAAACACTGGAAGCGTGCCTTCCGTCTATCACAACATGATCGATTTGGTTTCTCGTTTTTCGATCCGGAGACAGCCAGGTAGCTTGATGGATCTTTTTATGCTTGAACCTAGTACTGCATACTACCATGTTTCGGGCCCCGGCGAAGTCGATCAGCCTCAATCCGTTGTCGGACGTTTCGTCGTGGAGGCTGAATTTTCCGACGGTGGTTCCAAAGATCCCTTCTTTGCCCACCCTGGCATTGAAGTCGCCAAGCACGATTTTGATATCATGACGGGGGCAGCGCTCGTACGTGCGCTCCAAGCGCTCATAGAAGAGATCCTTGGATGCCTCATCCTTCTCTTCCGTCGGGGCATGGGCGCAGATGAGCGAGATGTTGAAGAATCTCGCTTTGATGCGGATTGTGGCTAGACGCTCGTCCACCGGGGTGAACGACAGTACTCGGCGACGGAGTCTCTCTCCCACCACAAATCCAACTCCGAATTTGCGCTCCTTTACATGGCAGCTGTAGTAGACGTCGCAAGGCCCCAGACATTGTTTGCCTTGCCCCGTCCAACGCATTTCTTGGATGGCGGTGATGTCAGCTTTTGTCCTTACGAGGACATCAACCAGCCGGGCAGAGGCACCTTCCCCATTAAGGGTCCGGACATTCCAGGTGCATGCCCTCAAATCGTAGTCCTTTAAACATTTGCCGTGGTCGTCATCATAAGGGGGGGTCTCATCCGAGGCTTTGCCTTGCTTCTTCACTGGAAGTGGTTTTTACGTGGCGGGTCCCAAGCCCAGCGCACAACCCATTGCTGGGACGGGGGTGGTTTCGCAACCAAATACACGTTTATATAGCGAGCCGCTTGCTCCAAGCAGACACCCGCTTGCAGCCGCACCTACTGGTGAACAGACGCTGCAGACTTCAGTGAGCCCTTAAACCGAATAAGTCAGAGTGGCCCCACCGAAGCTCCCTCTCTTTCTGCCGTGACCCAAGGCTCCACTCGGATTGGTTACCGCATCTCGCACATGGGTTGCTCACGTTGCCCAGAGTGCGCGAACGAAGACGCAAGAGTCGGGATTGAGTATAGCCATGCAACTGTAACTGCATACCCAGCGCAACGACTATACCCCATTGCACTCCACTATACCCATTGCACTCCCATGCGCATGTGTTAGGGCGCTGCAAAAGAACTGTCACTTTAAAGCGGGGTAAAAGCTGGAACAACTTTTTGAGAAACTTTACCTCACCGCAATGCTTCTCTTGCCTACAAACAGAATTGTTCCGGTGGCAGAAGTGTTCCAGTGGGAAACCGACCATTGAGAAATATCAATTCAAATTTGATTCGATCACGGATGCCTGGATTCTACATTAAAAAAAAAAAAACAATTACTCTGCATTACAAAATTGTTTGATTAAAACTAGTTTTGAAATGCTTGAAATTTGCAACCCAGTCGTTTGGCAGTCGCCCACACAAACGTATTTCAAACGAAAAATATTTCCATAAACAGCTGATAGAGATGCAATTTCACTTCTAATTTGGGCATGCATACACTGCGTTCATTTAAATCTTTTTGCTTTCTTTCCGGAAGATATTGGCATATTTTGAGCAGAGACCATAACGATAATAAGAAATAAAATTAAATATTGCTCTATAATTATTACACAGAGACCATAACGATTATAAGAAATATTGCTCCATAACTATTTCTCAACAATGGAAAAATTGTTTTCGTCCCGCGGAATGATTATTTGAAGATGGAAATTATTTTCGTCTTCTCTATTAATTATATGGGATTTTTATTTTCTTCAACTCTCGGGATGGTTTTTTCAAGACGAATATGATTTACGTTTTTTCATAATAATTAATTAATAATTTACGTTTTCTCATATTAATTTATTTATTTTTCGTCTCCCAGGACGTTTATTTCAAGACGGAAATGATTAACGTCTTCTCTTCGGAGATTTGACGCATTACATATTTAGCGCCACGTTTGTTCATGTCATCAAATTTGTATCGTTCGATTTTCAAAAATGAGGTGTCAAGTTAAACCTGAAATTAGTAAAGAACGTAAACCTACCGGTACATAACCCCGAGTGAGCTAACACGATCTGCCTTACCAGAGCGCCATGTAAATGAAAACTCCACACCGCAGGATTTTTCTGTAGTTTAGCCCGTATCGCAGAAATCTGCAAAATTTAGATTTTTCCGTGTCAGCTGATTTCTTCCTTCTATAGATGGTTGCCACTTCGTCAGTTTTGCAGATGGTAGAATAAATATAATTTCCTATTCAAAATACGCTTAAAATATTTGAAATTTGGTTTTTTTAATTTTTAATTTTTTTGAATAAGGTTTTTTGTTGAAAACTAAGTAGTTTATATATAGCTACGATCTATTATAGCACGCAAAATTGTAGTTGAAGAGGTAAGTTTATGAAAACAACTGTAGTAAGAAACACTGAGGGCTCCAGTAATCGACAAAATTCTGCGTATATAGACTGCGTTTAAGTATACGTTCTGCGTTCTTGACTAATTTCAGCTTAAAGGGCTTTGCTTTTACGTAGTTTTATGCCTGGATTATAATAGGAGCGTTCCTTATCTCACAGAAAAAGTCCGAAGTAGTCAGATTTAGTTCAAAAAGCGTTCCTTAACTCGGAAATGACAGCAAAAATGAGAGAGTAACACTCGGTGAGAGTGACTCTCATCAGTCCGAAGTAGTCAGATTTAGTCAGAAGAATTTTTTCTGGCAAAATCCTGAAAAGTGTCAAACTCAACTGAATTTAAATTAACGNATTTGTGGTTGCCACATCCAACAAATTGTACTTATTGATCAATATTATTGAAGATTTGACGAAGATTTAACTTAAATCTACTGCCTTTCGAGATTTAATTTTATATGGTAAATCTCAAAAGATTTAACGTCAAATCTCGTCAGAGGGCTAAATCTTCATTAAATCTCACAATGGAGACATAGTATAATGAAAGTAACGGAACGGAGTGAACTGTCACTTAATTATCTATTGTATGGGCAATGAATTCAAACGATTATAATGCACTTGAACGCAATGTAAAACGGAAGTATCGAAAATCAATAGATCCTTACGAATTCGTCGCGATTTGTTACGATTCGCCCCGTGCATCATAACCAAGGTATTAGTTTTTTGAAAAGGGTTGCCGGATGTTAGCAAATCAAATACCAATAATCGAGCTCGAAAATATTTGCATTTAATTTCGTGAAATCGGCAGTACATGTACCGATTCTATTCAGAGCAAACGTGAGACGTAAATCATTGAAAAATAAAAGTCGCGTATAACTATTATGAAAAGACGTAAATCATTTCCGTCTTAAAATAAACGTCCCACGACCCGTAAAAAATAAAAGTCCCACATAATTATAATGACAAGACGTAAATCATTTCCGAGATGAAAAAAAAAAATAAAAGTCCCTCATAATTATTATGAGAAGACGTAAATAATATTCGTCTTGAAATAAACGTCCCGGGGGACGAGAAAGACAAAAATCCAATATAATTATTATGAAAAGACGTAAATAATGTCCATCTCAAAATAATCATCCCACGAGACGAAAAAAGATATTTCCCGTTAATAATTATTATACAAAGACGAAAAAAATTTCTCTTAAAACAAGGAGACATTTTTGATCTTAAATATTAGGATAATTATTTTTTGGGGCACTGATTTTTAGCCTTTCTTGGTAAAAATGGTAGAAAATAAAATGCAGCTAAAAAGATGGTAGAGTCCGTGGACTGATGCCGACCTCGCCACAGGCTTCATTGTGTCAGCGCCCGAAAATTTGCTGTGTTTGCACTAAATTCAATCGTTGAATAAGTAAAAAAATAAAAAAAGGATGTATACAGAATGTTATAGGGCTTTCGCACGCGGCGATTTTTCAGGCAACTTTTAGTTTGAATGCAAAAATCGCCTCGTCCGAACGGCCTTTTAACTAATCGCTTTCATCAAAGTTGATCGCCAGCCAACTTTGAGCTCGTTCAACTTTTTTTCCTTGCAACCATGGCACAATAAACAGGTAGCAGCATCGTAGCAAATACAACAACTGCATGTATTTTGTTGTTGCTTGGGGTCCATAAAGTGTCAAAAGACAAATGTCAAATTTGCTGAGTTTGTCAATTCAAAAGAAAAGCAAAATTGTCGGCAAGTCAATAAACGTGAGTATTGAAAATTATTATGTGAAATTTATAAACTTTTCAAAGAGCATTACAACGCCCTACGTTGTGATATATATGCAGAATATATGTAATATCATAACTAACAGATAAGTTTTTAATTATTTATAGTTATGGGCATGGTACAAGTCGTTGCGTTGTAGAGCAGAAGCAGCAGATGTGGCCAATGCTGTGGATGGCGGCCGGCCATGGTGATCCTTTTCGGACTCACCCAGAAACTACGTATGTACGTCGTGTAGCTTCTTGGGAAGAATACAATTATGTGAGCTACACGATTTACTTCGCATTTTCATGCGCTTGCTACTGCTGAATTGTTTCGCGGATACCATGGTACAATGCAAAGATGCAATAATTTGTCTACGCTGCGATTCTCAAGGAAGAAAGTACAATACAAAACAACAACAACCAAAAAAGAAAGTACAATACATTATTTTAACGCAATTGCAAATATGGCCGGGTTTGTAGCAGTCCACACTGGTAGGGGCCTTTAAATAATTAATTAAAAGAATGATACATATGCATATAATTATTTGTATGTACTTCCCTTCTTTATTTAGGTGCTGGAAATTGCATAGATGAAACCAAATACCAGCGCGTTATCAAAGAAGCCTGTGTACGAGCCACAGACATACTTAAAAATGGTGGTTCCGCAATGGACGCAGTTGAGGCGGCGATAATGCGTCTAGAAAATTGTGGCAATACTAATGCCGGGTTTGGGTCCAACCTCTGTTGGGATGGGCGAGTGCAATGTGATGCATCCATAATGAATGGTTCGAATTTACATTTTGGAGCCTGCACAAACGTGAGTACAGTACGAAATCCGATACGACTAGCTCGTTTGATATGCGATGGGCAGTCAACTATGCTATCAATGGAGCGCATACCGCCAATGGTAATGGCTGGTAGTGGCGCGGAAAGGTATGCTGAAGAACTAGGTTGTACGATGATCGACGCCAGCGTCATAATTTCTTCCAAGGCGAAATTCTCATATAACCACTATAAATCTAAAATAGCGGCAGTATCACCCGCAGCAGAAGGAACCACTAGCACAAGTAATGGAATGTCGACGATACCAGTTGTCTCAGCTCAAGTTAGTGCCCTTGATACTGTTGGAGCAGTGTGTGTTGATAGTAACGGGAATACAGCTGCTGGTTGCAGATCTGGTGGACTATTATTGAAGGTGCCAGGACGCGTGGGTCAGGCAGCCACCTATGGTGCACAAACTTTTATGTTGGGACAGTATTTTCATAGCATGTTCGTTGTTGGTCGAAAATCAGGTATTGCGAATACGTAAAAAAGGAAATAACAACTTTAAAATCCACAGCTTATCTGAACGCTGTGAAATTTTGTAAATTTGTTTGTTAAATTGCCAAAATTGATCTATTTGTGAAGTTTTTTGTGGCCCTAAAAAGGGCCTTGCAAGCATTCACTAAAATATTATCTCTGCGAACCTTTTTGGCCCTAAAAAGGGCCTTTAAAGCGTACATGCTTTTATTGCAAATCTGATCTCTTTGTTTAGTTTTTGCGGCTCTGAAAAGGGCCTTTGAAATGTTGAAAGTGTTTACTGAAATTAAATGAATTTATATTGTTTATGAAACTGTACGCGGTTTAAAAGTGTCACTCACCAAAAGTACATATCTGTGGTTTAATTATCGTTGTATTGGGCTGTGCTGAAATAAAAATATAATTTATATTTATTTAAGAAGCTTTAAGTCTTTACTTTACCAGATCAGAGAGTTATTTTATTCAACTTTTTGTAGCGCAACATCCTGTGCTTAGCTTTCTGCACCTGCAGGCGTTTGTTCAAATGTCTTACGCGGAAAAATATGCGGCACTTAAAAAAAAATCTTTTCACATTTTCCGGAAGATCCACATGTGTGCTTTGGTCGAGTAAGTGGTGTTTTATATTACTGCAACGCACGATTTCGGTTGAATTTACTGTGTGAAAAACTGCCTCCAGACACTTCACACCATTGAGGAAATTAGTAGAGGGTTTTTTCAAAAATCCCTTTGAAACCTGATCCACCCAAGTAAAAGATGATATATTTGAATCCTCATGCTCGTGGAGATGCTGTTTTCGGATTATGTAACCCGCCAAGTACTCCAACGCATCTTCCTGAAGAACGCCAGCATCGTTGTCTATATTTACGCCGCTTAATGCGTCCACAACTTCGGGATCTTCAACTCCGGTCTCATTGGGTGCGCCATCAGCTTCAGTGTCACAAAAAGCCTGCGGATTCGACGAGTTCAGCCATTCGGTCGAATCTTGCTCCACATTGCCAGTGTTCTGCAAGTTTTCAATGTTTCTTGCTGTATGAAAATTTAAACATTGATTATTAAATTCTCATGTTAAAAAAATTTAGAATAATTACTCAAGATATATTTACGAAGCCTATATCTTTTGGTGTTGGATGGTCGTTAAGGCCTCCTTTGCTGCGAATACTACCAAAAAAATGCTCAAGTATGTCTTGGTTCACTCGCCGCGTCAATATATACTTGAAGTCGTACTTGGCTTGCGTATATTCATACAACATTGGCAGCGCTCTACTCGTGATCAACACACCCTTCTGGAACTGCTGCAAACTTGTTTTCCCAGGTATTACCACTTCTGACATATAATTATCCATCTGTAGCAGAATATCTTTCTGCTGATTAAGTTTGAGGCCGAATGGCTCCTTTAAGAGATAATAGCCTTAATTGTTTACCAACATACTAGTAATAAACTTTACTTTTCCTGGGTAATTGTACGTTTTCATGGATGAGTTCAAGACATCATACCAGTCGTTTATTAACTGCATCAAATCTGCAGTCTCAACTGGATTAGTTACATCCAGACCGAGCGAATAACAGCGTCGTATAGCATTTGCGGTTGTGCTGGAAAGCAACTGTGTTGCTAACTTCACCTTTTGTCTGCCTAATAAACGTTAAGAAGAAACCTACATACATAGCTTTCCAACACAAAATTATTTAATGTACCTATGCCTTTCACTGATAAGTGTTCCTCGCTTAGTTTAAATGTAATGGACATATCAGTCGCGGAGGTATGCTTCATTACATCTACTATCGCANTCTCGATTCGTTTTGCCTGTTACAAACAACCGTTATGTGAACAAAGTTATAATACCCTTGTGCACAAGTGCGCTCGGGTATAAAAATGTACTTTTTACCTATTGTAACCCCCAGATTTTTCCACAACTTCTGGTTCGATGTGCCCATATCACAAACGATTGCCACGACAGGAAAACCAGCGTTCTGAACTGACACGATGATGTTGCTTAGAAGCTCGACGTCGACCTTGCAGTCGAAGTCATAGAAAACGGGCTGTTTCCATCTTCTGTACAATCCACGCGCCATTACCACTTGCACATAATTTCCTGGTTTTCTCACGAAGTCCCCTGTGGGTTCATATTCATACGCTTCAGTCACCTTCATTTCGTCGAACGCTAGTATGCACACTTTCTCCTGGACGGAGTAATCATTAATGTGACGCATCAAGTCTAACGAAACTGTAAGTATGCCCTCATTTACGTTAATCCCTGCAAAAATCGTTGGACCATGTAGTCCATTTGTGGTATATTGGAGTACTTACAAAAGTGTTCCTCTGTCATGCTGTAGCGGACTAACTCGTGTCTCTGCGCCAGCTTATTCTTTGTTACCCGATAACTGCTCGTGTTTTAACGAAATGTGATTGAAGTTGAGCATTTGAAAGCACATTTGCATGTCTGGCTGTAGCTGAACGTGTAGAGATGCTCGCTGTTAGTTGTGAGCTCCCAGCATGTTCAGGTTCAAATGCCGTCAGAGGAACATGTAATTTTTAATTTTTGTCTTGGTTTTTATTAATTTCGAAAAAGTATATGAGAAGTGAAGAACAAAAGCGTGTACAAACGAAAAAATATAACGATAATGTCATTGGAGTATGTTGGGAGTAGTTTTGTGCTACTCTGATGTAATGCAGAGAGATGGAGTATATGGTCCTGCCCTAGGACATCGCAATGTTAATTGGACCATATTTTTTATATGAATTGGGGTTAGTGGAAACCCATTGTCATACAAATGCCTATATGCTCTGGGACCGGCAGCGTGAAGGCATATAGCTTTTGATATGTCTTTCCACGACCACTGAACACTTTTGTCTGCGATGAATATAAGAAGTTTGCATATCACAATGTGCCTTCGATACACTTTATAAAGCTTTATAACCTACTTTATTTTATATGAATTAGACTGTTAATAGTTGCGTTCTAGATGCTTCACGATTTGCAAATTTTACAGGATTTGCAGGAACAGCTGTTTTCTCCATTAATAAACCTTATAGACGGATGTCACCTGGAACGGCTTCCCATGAACGAAAGACACAAGATCACGTAAGAACAAGAGAGTGAAAAAGTCGATTTTTTTTACCGGGTTCCACGCCATCTTGTTTCACTGGAAAACGAGCGAAAAGTAAACAAAGCAAAGAAAACAACGAAAACCAAAATTAGCCGAAATTATTGTCAGCCACTTTAAACGCACAATTTAGGTAAAATGATGCAACAAAATGCTTTAAAATGTGTTGTCATGTTGAATTAACTTTTCTTTACTTGAATAAAAGTGTAAAATAGTGGTGCTTGTGATGTAAACAAACGCTCAGCTGACGAACCCGCTTTCGCAAACTTTTTTCTCAAAACCAGTTACAAATACAACGTCGCCTTCTTACGTGATCTTGTATTTTTGGTTCATGACGGCTTCCTGTAAAATCCTGCAAATCGTGAAGCATCTGGAACGCAACTAATATAAAAAAGTACACACCGCGTATTATCATTTTCCTCACTTGACCTTCTGAGAACATTGATCGAACTGAGGTCATTATGCTGGAGGTTTCCGCGGCATTAATTTTCAATTTGGTGTTTTCCTCGCGTAGCTTCTTGTTCTCTGCCCTCAAATTTGCAATTTCTAACTCCATTGCACACTGGAGTAACATAGAACTATAGGGAAGGGTTTAGAAAATGGTATAAATAAATGGAAAAATGGACAAAAGCCATATGTGTGTATATGCATCCACAATGTGTGCCACACATTGCTCGTCAGTTTGCGTCTGGCAATTGTTTTGTGCCACGCATTGCTCGGTCATTCCTAAAAAGCCACTACAAATATATAACATGTAAAAAATCTCCTGAATCTAAAAAATCGGATACAGTCTTACTTATCACGCGTGTTAGATACGCAAGGGTCATCTACACCAAGCCACATAGCAGAATCCAATGGGTCTTCAACACATTCTGGATTAATGCTATTTGAGAAATTTTATTTACAGATAATTTAAAGGATATGCAGATAGGAAACTTACATCAAAGACGACGGTATGTTAATTGAAGGGACAGAGTTGGGCATTAAGTGGGTTCTTTGCGCACCTACAATGAGGTCGGATTCCGGAAGATGTTTATAGGGTAATCGCACAAGGCAATTTTACAGGCAACAAAAGTTGAATGAGAAATTGAAAGTGAAAAAGTTGCCATCCCTATTCAGACGGGGCGATTTTCGATTCAACACGAATTGTTTTATTTAAAATGAATTTTAATCGCAAAATTGTATAAATTAGCGTAAATTTGGTAAGCCAAGCGTTGGTAAAAGTGCTTTAGCGATTAGTTGAAAGGCCGTTCGGACGAGGCGATTTTGGCTTTCAACTAAAAGTTGCCTGAAAAATCGCCGCGTGCGAAAGCCCTATTACACTCTGTGTACATACTTTTTTTCTTTTTTACTTTTTTACTTTTATTTTATCTTTCAGCTTCGCTAAAAGCACCTCTACCAACGCTTAGCTTACCAAATTTACGCCAATTGATACAATTTTGCGATTTGTTGGCTGGCGACCAACTTTGTTGAAAGCGATTACTTGAAAGGCCGTTCGGACGACGCGATTTTTTCTTTCAACTAAAAGTTGCCTGAAAAATCGCGCGTGCGAAAGCCCTATAACCTTCTGTATACATACTTTTTTTCACTTTTAACGTTTCATTCAACTTGGCGTTCAACTTATGTTGCTTGTAAAATCGCCGAGTGCGAATGCTCTATTATGGTAACTCTGAATGTAGCAATTTGACAACTATAAAATTTGACATTAAGTGTTTAGCTTTGCTGTGTCATTTGCGGTTAGTATTTGGAGAAGTATTTCCTATTATCATTTGAGAATATTATAGCAAAAATGGCTTCTGAACGCTATAGCTTTTCCTTGACTACTTTTAGGTACATTAACAAGAAATATTTAGTCAGAAATTATCTTAAAGAAAGTCTTTAAATTGTATGTTTTAGCCCCTCCGGTAAATTGGTTCAATTAGAATATGCTTTAGCGGCAGTTGCTGCTGGGGCAACATCAGTGGGTATCGTTGGTAAGTAAACCAAGCGTGCTTATGTAGAAAATCTTTATTGGGCCAAAATTTTTACAGCCTCGGATGGTGTTGTAATCGCTACTGAAAATAAATATAAGTCGCCCCTATACGAAGAGCATAGCGTACACCGAGTTGAACCTATCACTGACCATATTGGTATGGTGTATTCTGGTCTTGTGCCGGATTACCGCCCACTTCTCAAACGGGCACGAAAAATGGCTCAGCAGTACTATTTGGTTTACAAAGAGCCAATGCCCGTCTCACAATTGGTACAACAGGTTGCCAATGTAATGCAAGAATATACGCAGTCGGGGTAAGAAATATTCCTTTGTATTTTTCGTGTTATAAATATATACCTATATAATGCTTATGAACATATTTCTCATCAGTGGCGTAAGGCCTTTTGGTGTCTCTTTGCTTATCTGTGGTTGGGATTCCGGCAAACCATATTTATTTCAATGTGATCCCACTGGCGCATTTTTCGCTTGGAGAGCAACTGCTCTTGGTAAAAATGCCCAAAGTTGTAAAACTTACATGGAAAAAAGGTATTTCATCGTAATTGTAAAAAATAAATAAATCTTTTGAAACCTTTTTTCAGATTTAACTTACAATCTAATAATTCTGTGTCTCAATCCCTGGACGATGCAGTAGTCGA